GTATGTTGACTGGTGATGTCCTCAGTATAATGTATGTTGACTGGTGATGTCCTCAGTATAATGTATGTTGACTGGTGATGTCCTCAGTATAATGTATGTTGACTGGTGATGTCCTCAGTATAATGTATGTTGACTGTTGATGATGTCCTCAGTATAATGTATGTTGACTGGTGATGTACTCAGTTAATGTTATTGACTGTTGATGTACTCAGTATCAGGTATGTTGACTGGTGATTTCTTCAGTATAATGTATGTTGACTGGTGATGTCCTCAGTATAACATATGTTGACTGTTGATGCCCTCAGTATAATGTATGTTGACTGGTGATGTCCTCAGTATAATGTATGTTGACTGGTGATGTACTCAGTATAATGTATGTTGACTGGTGATGTCCTCAGTATAATGTATGTTGACTGGTGATATCCTCAGTATAACCTATGTTGACTGGTGATGTCCTCAGTATAACATATGTTGAATGGTGATGTCCTCAGTATAATGTATGTTGACTGGTGATGTACCCAGTATAATGTATGTTGACTGGTGATGTAATCAGTATAAGGTATGTTGACTGGTATGTTGACTGATGATGTCCTCAGTATAATGTATGTTGACTGGTGATGTCCTCAGTATAATGTATGTTGCCTAGTAAAGTCCTCAGTATAATGTATGTTGACTGGTGATGTCCTCAGTATAATGTATGTTGACTGGGGATGTCCTCAGTATAATGTATGTTGACTGGTGATGTCCTCAGTATAATGTATGTTGACTGGTGATGTTCTCAGTATAATGTATGTTGACTGGTGATGTCCTCAGTATAATGTATGTTGCCTAGTAAAGTCCTCAGTATAATGTATGTTGACTGGTGATGTCCTCAGTATAATGTATGTTGACTGGTGATGTACTCAGTATAATGTATGTTGACTGGTGATGTCCTCAGTATAATGTATGTTGACTGGTGATGTCCTCAGTATAATGTATGTTGACTGGTGATGTACTCAGTATAATGTATGTTGACTGGTGATGTCCTCAGTATAATGTATGTTGACTGGTGATGTCCTCAGTATAATGTATGTTGACTGGTGATGTCCTCAGTATAATGTATGTTGACTGGTGATGTCCTCAGTATAATGTATGTTGACTGGTGATGTCCTCAGTATAATGTATGTTGACTGGTGATGTACTCAGTATAATGTATGTTGACTGGTGATGTAATCAGTATAATGTATGTTGACAGATGATGTCCTCAGTATAACATATGTTGACTGGTGATGTCCTCAGTATAATGTATGTTGACTGGTGATGTCCTCAGTATAATGTATGTTGACTGGTGATGTCCTCAGTATAATGTATGTTGACTGGTGATGTCCTCAGTATAATGTATGTTGACTAGTGAAGTCCTCAGTATAATGTATGTTGACTGGTGATGTCCTCAGTATAATGTATGTTGACTTGTGATGTCCTCAGTATAATGTATGTTCACTAGTGAAGTCCTCAGTATAATGCATGTTAACTGGTGATGTACTCAGCATAATGTATGTTGACTGGTGATGTCCTCAGTATAATGTATGTTGACTGGGGATGTCCTCAGTATAATGTATGTTGACTGGTGATGTCCTCAGTATAATGTATGTTGACTGGTGATGTTCTCAGTATAATGTATGTTGACTGGTGATGTCCTCAGTATAATGTATGTTGACTGGTGATGTCCTCAGTATAATGTATGTTGACTGGTGATGTCCTCAGTATAATGTATGTTGACTGGTGATGTCCTCAGTATAATGTATGTTGCCTAGTAAAGTCCTCAGTATAATGTATGTTGACTGGTGATGTAATCAGTATAATGTATGTTGACTGGTATGTTGACTGATGATGTCCTCAGTATAATGTATGTTGACTGGGGATGTCCTCAGTATAATGTATGTTGACTGGTGATGTCCTCAGTATAATGTATGTTGACTGGTGATGTTCTCAGTATAATGTATGTTGACTGGTGATGTAATCAGTATAATGTATGTTGACTGGTGATGTGACAATCAGTATAATGTATGTTGACTGGTGATGTCCTCAGTATAATGTATGTTGACCTGTATAATGTGTTGACTGGTGATGTATATCAGTATAATGTATGTTGACTGTATAATGTGATGGTGATGTATATCAGTATAATGTATGTTGACTGGTGATGTCAGTATAATGTATGTTGACTGGGTTAGGTATATCCTCAGTATAATGTATGTTGACTGGTGATGTCCTTGATTGTGTCACAGGGGTGGGTATATCTGTGACGATAGAAAATAGTGTGATTGTGTGGCAGGGGTGGGTAAATCTGTGACAATAGAAAATAGTGTGATTGTGTGACAGGGGTGGGTATATCTGTGACAATAGAAAACAGTGTGATTGTGTGACAGGGGTGGGTATATCTGTGACAATAGAAAACAGTGTGATTGTGTGACAGGGGTGGGTATATCTGTGACAATAGAAAACAGTGTGATTGTGTGACAGGGGTGGGTATATCTGTGACAATAGAAAACAGTGTGATTGTGTGACAGGGTAGGGTATATCTGTGACAACAGAAACAGTGTGATTGTGTGACAGGGTTAGGTATGTCTGTGACAATAGAAAACAGTGTGATTGTGTGACAGGGGTGGGTATATCTGTGACAATAGAAAACAGTGTGATTGTGTGACAGGGGTGGGTATATCTGTGACAATAGAAAACAGTGTGATTGTGTGACAGGGGTGGGTATATCTGTGACAATAGAAAACAGTGTGATTGTGTGACAGGGGTGGGTATATCTGTGACAATAGAAAACAGTGTGATTGTGTGACAGGGGTGGGTATATCTGTGACAATAGAAAAGTGTGAGTGTGATTGTGTGACAGGGTGTTGGTGACGGTATATCTGTGACAATAGAAAACAGTGTGATTGTGTGACAGGGGTGGGTATATCTGTGACAATAGAAAACAGCGTGATTGTGTGACAGGGGTGGGTAAATCTGTGACAACAAAAACAGTGTGATTGTTTGAGAGTGGTGGGTATATCTGTGACAATAGAAAACAGCGTATTGTGTGACAGGGTAGGGTATATCTGTGACAACAGAAACAGTGTGATTGTATGACAGGGTTAGGTATATCTGTGACAATAGAAAACAGTGTGATTGTGTGACAGGGGTGGGTATATCTGTGACAATAGAAAACAGTGTGATTGTGTGACAGGGGTGGGTAAATCTGTGACAATAGAAAACAGTGTGATTGTTTGAGAGTGGTGGGTATATCTGTGACAATAGAAAACAGTGTGATTGTGTGACAGGGTTAGGTATGTCTGTGACAATAGAAAACAGTGTGATTGTTTGACAGGGGTGGGTATATCTGTGACAATAGAAAACAGTGTGATTGTGTGACAGGGGTGGGTATATCTGTGACAATAGAAAACAGTGTGATTGTGTGACAGGGTAGGGTATATCTGTGACAATAGAAAACAGTGTGATTGTGTGACAGGGGTGGGTATATCTGTGACAATAGAAAACAGTGTGATTGTGTGACAGGGGTGGGTATATCTGTGACAATAGAAAACAGTGTGATTGTGTGACAGGGTAGGGTATATCTGTGACAACAGAAACAGTGTGATTGTGTGACAGGGTTAGGTATATCTGTGACAATAGAAAACAGTGTGATTGTCTGACAGGGATGGGTATATCTGTGACAATAGAAAACAGTGTGATTGTGTGACAGGGGTGGGTATATCTGTGACAATAGAAAACAGTGTGATTGTGTGACAGGGTAGGGTATATCAGTGACAACAGAAATAGTGTGATTGTGTGACAGGGTTAGGTATATCTGTGACAATAGAAAACAGTGTGATTGTGTGACAGGGGTGGGTATATCTGTGACAATAGAAAACAGTGTGATTGTGTGACAGGGGTGGGTATATCTGTGACAATAGAAAACAGTGTGATTGTGTGACAGGGGTGGGTATATCTGTGACAATAGAAAACAGTGTGATTGTGTGACAGGGGTGGGTATATCTGTGACAATAGAAAACAGTGTGATTGTGTGACAGGGGTGGGTATATCTGTGACAATAGAAAACAGTGTGATTGTGACAGGGGTGGGTATATCTGTGACAATAGAAAACAGTGTGATTGTGTGACAGGGGTGGGTATATCTGTGACAATAGAAAACAGTGTGATTGTGTGACAGGGGTGGGTATATCTGTGACAATAGAAAACAGTGTGATTGTGTGACAGGGGTGGGTATATCTGTGACAATAGAAAACAGTGTGATTGTGTGACAGGGGTGGGTATATCTGTGACAATAGAAAACAGTGTGATTGTGTGACAGGGGTGGGTATATCTGTGACAATAGAAAACAGTGTGATTGTGTGACAGGGGTGGGTATATCTGTGACAATAGAAAATAGTGTGATTGTCTGACAGGGGTGGGTATATCTGTGACAATAGAAAACAGTGTGATTGTGTGACAGGGGTGGGTATATCTGTGACAATAGAAAACAGTGTGATTGTGTGACAGGGGTGGGTATATCTGTGACAATAGAAAACAGTGTGATTGTGTGACAGGGGTGGGTATATCTGTGACAATAGAAAACAGTGTGATTGTGTGACATGGGTGGGTATATCTGTGACAATAGAAAACAGTGTGATTGTGTGACAGGGTAGGGTATATCTGTGACAACAGAAACAGTGTGATTGTGTGACAGGGTTAGGTATATCTGTGACAATAGAAAACAGTGTGATTGTGTGACAGGGGTGGGTATATCTGTGACAATAGAAAACAGTGTGATTGTGTGACAGAAAATAGTTTGCAAGATCATTTGACTTATGAAAAGGTAGTGAAAATTGAAGAAAGAACTGGTAGTTTTAAACGTTAAGGTGAAATAATGCTATTGGCCAGTCTGAATTATAAGTCTTGGTATATTTATTGTAAACTAAAATTGTATAGGAGGTATTGCCTTTGATATACGTACAACTGCTTAAGGAATACGTGATGATACTCAAACTCCTTGTTTCAGGACGTGGAGGTTCTGCGGGAGGAAAGTTCCGTATCTCGCTGGCTCTGCCAGTCGGGGCAGTTATCAACTGTGCTGACAACACAGGTATGGAAATATTCACTGTATCCAGTAATTTCAAGTGTTGCAGTTCCACAATCACTAAATATCTTCTCAAATTCACTACTGTATGAGGGAATATTTTCAAAGTGATGTTTGTTAAAATTTCATGTTGACAAAAATTCATTCATATTTTCATCTTTCATTTTAAAAGATATTAACTTTAACTGTCATTTTCATCTTACAATTCAGTTAAATTGTACTCAAACTTTTACATACATATTAAATATGCTTTGTCAATTTTTGTTTCATGCTTTGATTTTTTTTCAGATTGAAGGTTTAGACACGTTTTTGTTTTTATCTTCAAATTTTACTTTTAGGGGCTAAGAATCTGTATGTTATCGCTGTGAAGGGCATCAAGGGCCGTCTGAACAGAATGCCAGCAGCGGGGGCTGGTGACATGATTGTAGCCACTGTCAAAAAGGGCAAGCCAGAACTCAGAAAAAAAGGTAATATATGTATAGTAATTGTATAACAGTTATCATCAATGAAAAGTAATAATGGACATGCAAACCTGTATGACAAAAAGATCTTTATGCAGGTAAGCCAGAGAAGAGCATTGCATGAAGTATCGATTTCCACCCTTTAAGAAAGTTGGGGATGCTTATTTCTCTCCCTGTTTAAGGGACCGAATTAGGCATACACATTGGTGAACATTGATTTCAGTTTTTAAAGTTTACTGTCATTAGATGGTATTGCTGTTCAAATGGGACTGATCAGAAAATCAAAATGAATGAAAAACTGCAATCTTGGTTTGACAGTTAAAGGTTTTTATTACCATTTCTTGAAAGAAATTTTCAAATTGCATGAAGTAAAGAGGAAAAACTGAGAAACAAGGGAGAAAGAATCAAATTTTTAAGGATCAAATTAATGATCAAACAACAGCAAGTTCTACAATCTATAATCCCTCAGGGATCTCTTGTCAGAACGTTTCAGTTGTCTGTTCATTAAAATTGATATCTTTCACAAACACTTGGCCATATTCCACTCCAGTTCCTGTGATAATTCCTAGAATTCCTTTGTGACATAAAACTTGAGTATTACGAAACATTGAGTTTAATGTTACAGAATTGAGGACAGCTTCATTTTGTGGGAATGTAAAAATGTATCTGCCCTTTGTTCTATGTCGGGAAAAGGATGCATAATTTTGCATTTTGTAAATAAATCATGTAACATTATCTACCATTACATTTTTTCAATAAGGTATTATTTTGACACTTATTCTCTCGGTTTATCTATGTTTAAGAAATGTACGCTGTGACACTCCATCGACAGACTTTAGTATTAATCTTCATTGTCTTTCAGTTTCAGTCTTACCATAATGGTAAATCATGATGTTGCAAGAAATTGTACAAATACAATCTGATATGAGCCCTTTTTCAGAATCAAATGTGTGAGGTGGCCGTGAGACACCCATAAAATTTATTCAATATCTGAGCATGTATATAACAGAGTTTTTGTGAAATCCAGTAACCAACACAATTAAATTTGATACTTCAGGCAACCTCCAGAGTTTTATTTTCCATGTTAACATGACAGCCACAAGATTTCATTCTGTTGCTCTTTTTTCATAGCCAAATACATGTTGCTTCCCTGAGCAAAAATATTTTCAGTTTCCCCCAAAAAATAGTATATAAAATAACAATATATTTTCCCAAACAGTATGAAAAAATCCTGAATATTTCCTTATCCTGCATGCAGTCTAAATATAGACACTTCAAAATAGGAAAAAAGTCGGTGGATAGCAATGCATTTCAAACCAAGAAAGTTGTTAATTTCCAATTGATAAGCTACGGTACGTAAACTTTAAGTTTGCAAGGAATGCAGTAGATAGAAGTACTCTTTATATACCATTTTTACTTCATTTATTTCATTATTTTCTCATGTCAAATCCTGGCAGTGTGTACATTTTCATTCATGGTTAAGGAGAGCATGGTGTTAAGTGTTTGAAAATTAGTAATCAGTGATTGATTAAACCTGTAAGGAATTTTTTCTATTTAAAATTTACCAAAATGAGTTAATATTGTAGATTTTAATAAGTAGCAAGCTTTTTTCTGCATTTATCTTTGTGATTACAGGAGAATTTCTTTATTTAGATTGTCAAATAAAATGAATTATTTGTCATTTCCAGTAATGCCTGCTGTGGTGGTGCGGCAACGTAAATCAGTCCGGAGGAAGAATGGGGTGTTTATATACTTTGAAGACAATGCAGGAGTGATAGTAAATAACAAGGGAGAAATGAAAGGTGATCATTTTATCGTGTTTAATCTTGTTAAATTTTCCTTTCTCTAATTTGAAAATATTCAAAATCAAATTGCTTCATTATATTAATCAAATTTGTGACTTTCTGACAGGACGAAAACACCATTGAAATAAATTTATTTAACTATCTTGTTATTTTGATGTCTTTCAGGGTCTGCTATCACTGGCCCAGTAGCAAAGGAATGTGCAGACTTGTGGCCCCGTATTGCTTCAAATGCCAGTTCCATCTCATAGACCACTGTAAATAAATGTCTTCAAAGGGAGTCAAATTGTTGTCGTTACTGATTTAATAACTGTATTTCAAGAAACTTTGCAAAAGACATTCTTAAGTACCCCGGTAGTTCAAACTAAAGTTTCTAACATCAAAATAGCAGTTTTGGTCTTAAAAGATTAAGATATAATCATCTGTAATGTCCAAATTGAATATCATGTTCCTTTCTGTATATTTGCAAGGGTGCCATACAGATATCTCATAGAGTCTATCGCATTTCAGCATTAAGGTCACTGCTCTTACAGTGGAGTTAATTGGACTGATAAAAAGCATTATAACGTTTAAAAATCTGTTTTAAATTGTGTACTTTCTGTTAATTATGATATTTCAAAGTTTGCCTAGCAATTTTATCAGCGTTACAAAATTAAAAATAAAATAGGAGTAACCCAACACCAATTAATATCATTATTATTCGGAGAATGTAAACAATGTCTCTGCGCATGCAATTTTAAATTCAGATAAATTCATATTAATTTATTTTGCTCTGTCGCGCATCTAGAGTGAAACGAGGTAATTTTACAAAGTAAGAATTGAAATACGATTGGCAAATTAAGTTTTGGCTTATAATATAGTTCTACATAGTAAGAAATATCAAAACGATGTGATAGAACGAGGCTCCAAATGGTCATATGATGAACTCGGCAATCTCCGATCAAAACAGGGTGGTAGATAGTCTTTATCAATTTCTCTCCAAGAGTGCTATAATTTTGTGAAAAGTCTATAAGTATTACAATGTTTGCCCAAAATCAAACGACTGGGGAAAAAATAAAATTTGATCACTTAGTCTCTTTGAGGTCAATGATAATCAAGCATCAGTAGATTGACTTCCCATATCAGTTCACAGCATTTGCTTGCACTTTAATTCTGTGATCGTAATTTTACTAAATCTTATTGCCCTGCTTCAAAGTAAGGATTGTCGAGACAAATCAACTTTCTGACTTTACAAGACTTGATATCAATTTACAGCTTGATTTTCACTATAAACATTAATTCTTGTGTGACTTCCATGTAACTTTATTCAAACGTCCCAAGCATATAAACATGTAGCTCAAGTCATGAGTAACTTTGATCACTGATTATGGTTACCTTCCCTGTACTTTATCAGGAGTCACCTTTTAATGTCTAGTGAAACCGGAACCTACATTTGTATGATGCACGTCTTAGACGACAAGCTCAACTATGGTTAACTTGGGTTTGAATAGAGCAACTGGATATTATGCTTGTATATCATTTGAAAGTATTACAGTGAATGTAGGTGGCTTTGCAGTGTTTAAAGGTGGCATACCAGCATATGCTACAGTAAATGGTTAATGATCAAACTTGCCCTATTTCACATCAACTTCTTAGTGTCAAGGTCACTGATACTAAGATTAATATACATATCTTTACAATATCTATGCAAGTCTTGAGTGTCATTTACAATGTATTGATATTTGATATACTGGTAGAAGAAAGAAATCTTGACATGGTACAAAGTAAATCCATTGTGAATAGATTGTTGTATTATACTGATGAGCTAACAAGAAGCTAATGGACTATTGGCAGACAACAATACCATCACATACCAGAGGCCTATTAGGTTTCTATAGCTGTACATGTAGAAATATGAAATGTAAATTTCAACTAATTAGAAGGTCCCCTTAGGAGCTATTTTGTTAAATGAGAAAAGGAACTCCCATCTCTATGTCACTGATGTAAAACAACACCTGTACACCAATTTTCTTAAAAATTGGCTACCTAAATTTCAACCAATCTGAAGCTTCTAGGTGGCAACCATCTTATCTGATCCAAAAACCTATTTTCATTAATGTGTCTCTGGTGTTAAACCACACCTACCTTACACATTTCATGGAAATCACTTGATATCTAAATGTTGGCCAAATTGGCCTGTCAGGCCCCAGTTGACAGACCCTAAAACAAGAAAAAAGCTGAGTCTCAAACAAATGCTCTTGGAATGTTTCTTTAATGGAAGAGATAATAATTAGACAATACCACAATCCAAGTGGAGATAACTCTCATAAAATAAATGTTTCGTTTATATTGCATACTATGAATTACTGATATTATCAGAATATACTACATTGTATTAAACCTTTGGTATCATTTCTGAGTGTACACTGCAAGATGCTTTTCTATGTTTTCAGTTCTGAAAAGCTAGTTGTTGGGACTGATTTACACGAACATTGAAATTGGGAGTTGTAGGAGAGATATGACAAATAGGGGGAAATGGAGCAGATCTTTAAAATCCTACTCCTTTGGTAGGAATGATTAGATCTTGTCCTAATTTTGTGTGAATCATGGTTGGGGAGGGGGGAGGAAGGAAACCAGTTCTGTATAAACGATGGATCTTGACCCCCTAGGTTGGGGGAAAAAAAGGGGGAAATAGAAAAAGTTGTTAAAAATCCTACTCCTGCAGTAATAATGATTTGATTTTGTCTGAATCATGTTGAGGTGAAGGGGAATCAATTTTGTGTAAACAGTGGATGTCGGCCACCAGGGGGTGGGAGGAGCAGGCCTAATATAAATGAAACAAATGTTTAGCTCACCTGGCCTGATTGCCCTACTAAAGGTGTTGTTTAGGGGACATAATTAAAAATCAACTGTTTATCACTCCATTCACTGAAACAGTTGGGATGAGTCTTTCCCCACAGATCAAGGGATGAGAAAGATAAACCCAAACAGATCTCTGCTTGACCTGCTATCCCGTCTACAAGCACTTTCTTCTGGCATGATAGCATAAACTAAGTAGGCTTTGCCCATTAGAAAAAAATCACCAGAGTATACTTCTCAATAAATACATTAACTTTATTCAAAAATCTTTAAAAGATGAGTAAAATACACAATATATTTTGTCTACCCACTGTATCTGAATATGGACTAGAAAATAATGATATCCCAATTATTGACTTCCTCTCTATCAATTACTCTCAGATACATCAAACAGAATACACAACGAAAGTACAACTCTATATCATTTCAATCAGATTCTGATAATAATTTCTTATTAAATGACATGACTCCTTCACAAACAAATTGTTTATCAACAGTTTCAGATCTGTCTACGTAGCAGCCAAACCAAAGGAAAAACAATATTAACCTGCATGAAGCATGAAATGTTCAGATAATGCTAAGGATTACAAAACATTTTTACTTTAAATAGCAAAACCATTTACTAATTGAATGTTGGAGGTATCTGTAAAGACTGGAGTCACTCTGTTCTTTAAGAAATGTGTATGATCAGAATTTCAGCATAATTATATCATTTTTTACAAAGAGAATTTGAAAAATTACACACAAACATAGAAGAAATTTAATAGACAGTGGTAACTTGAAATATACCAAGAAAATATTCCAATTTGCTTCCATTGTATTCCAGATATGGGAGATGGACTGCAGGTTTATAATTCACTATCAATTAGATTTATGTAGTATATCGAAATATAAGAAATGAGTTTTTAAGAGTTTGAAATATATTTGAACATTTTGTTGTTTATGTCCCTAAATTATCTTATAATCAGCAAGTGATGTTACAATGCCAAAACCTTTTTAACAAATTTTGAATGCGGAATTCAATTTTACAGAAACTGTCATTTTGTTTGATTACTTTTACTTGTACATATTCACTATGGTCTCTCATTTTTTTTTGCCATGATTAAACAGTGCTCTACATGTTAGATATGAGTCTTGCAATTAAAGAAAAGAATTAAAACAAAAAACATAAGCATATGAAATGAAAAAATACCTGGTACATATCATACTCTTGAAAACATTGCTTCAATAGTTTCATGAATTACAAACACAACATATCAATTATCACAAATACAAAAATGTGAATATTGGAAAAAATTGTTCAGACTAGAAGAGTCAACTTAAAGAAAGTAAAATCTCTGTTGACCTATTATATCCTTCAATAAGTCTATGTGGCAATTACTTCTTATTCAGAGTAAGGGGTGGGCTTAATAAAGGACTATGAAATTAGCATTGGTTTGTGATTTTATGGAACAGCAACATATCTCGATGGGTTTATCAACAGACATGGGATTTTGGCCAGTTCTATACAGTACTGTGTTTCATATTATGTGGTTAGGAGGGATTTGATACATGCATGTCCTAGTGATATACAGTATTCAAATATGTGATTTATAGATTGATAACAAAATACAGTACACCAAAGCGATTCATACCTCAAAATGAGACAAATCTAATAAAATTGTTAATAAAATATTGGGTGGGATCCTTTTTCTGTCAGATCTATATATATCTATATACACATCCCATCCCCTAGAGTCAACTGATCAACTGAAAATAGATTAATTAAAATGATTATCAACATGAAAATAGTTTAATGGTAATGTTTTCTCCTAAACTCTGGGAACTCTGTTTATTGTCTACTTTTGGAGAAGACAATGAGGTGAAAAAACATTCTGGAATGATTTTAGTACTGCAAACTGCCACATGTTTGTGAGGATAGTTTTCTATAGTGAAGTATTGTAAAATGTAAAAGGCTCTTTTTACTTCACAAACTTTGTCTGATACATTGTCATCTGTCTTCCAAAATGAAAGCAGTGACTTTCCAATGCTCAATTAAGACTCCACCATGCAAAAATACAGTACATGTATGCAATAATTACATATAATTCAGCAGCAGTAATCATCTTTATATTTATGTATTTAACCTTAAACCACTTTTACCTGTTCCATCCCTCACTGATATCACTGTTACATAAATAAAACTGAGATGTTATTAACCTCTGGAAGTTAATTCAACGAGAGAGGAGGAGGAGGATGGTAGGGGGAATCAGATTGTTGTGGTATTATTAAATGTTATAAATGCAAGTTTTAATTTTCATTTTTTCAATTTCAACTCTAGCCCACCTCATTCATGAGGACTTTTTGTAAAAAGAAATCTACCCAAGGGAAGGACTACTGGTTTGTCACCCAAGGAAAGGACTCCCTGGATACTCCAGGGGTTACAATCACTTTTGCTAGCTCTCTGCACCCCTTGAACATGTCATGACAAATAGAAGGTTCCATTTGCGACACCTTGTTGGCAAGATGAAAAGATGAAAAGTTTGATCCTTTGATGAACATCAAAAGAATCTCGTGGTCACATAATGGTATATTGTAAAGGCTTTGAAGTTGGGTGTGATTCCTTTGTATTCTTCAAAAGAAGCATATAAGCCCGTTATCAGTAAGGTTTTTTTTCACCTGGAACCAATCAAATTACTTCTCCTGTGCCTTTAATTTTGCCATGACATGTTCAGGAGTGCTGAGAGCAATAGTGATTGTAACCCCTGGAGTATCGAGGGTGATGGAAGGACTCATGATTTGTTAACCAAGGGAAGTAATTGTGGTTTAACATCCAAGGAAAAAAAACTCATGGTTTCATGGGTTTAAGGGAATTATTTTGGTTTGTCAAATAGCTAACAGAACCGAATCATTATTATGATGGTTTATATCCAATCAACCACAGATTTTCCTATTTCTGGAGTTTGTCCTTATGATAGATATTTCACTTTTGGCAATCTAAATGTAGAATTCAAATTCATCACTGTTAACATTAGTACATTTAATTAATAACTAAATTCAGTAAAGAATAATATATTGGCCCACAAAAAAATATGCTTTACTTTACAGTTATATTATCAAAAATAAAATGTTTTCAAGGTTAGAGACTGGTAGCTGATGTCACAACTGCATTTTTACAAAATGAATAGCAAGATTAATTCTTTAAAAAATGGACATATTCTTTTACCTCTTTGTATTTATTTAATACTTTTACTTATTTTGACTAGTGGCCTTTCATACTCTATTTGTTTCTCTGTGTTGGCCTTTGATAATCCGTATTTGTTTCTCCATGATGGCCTTAGATAATCTGTATTTGTTTCTCTGTGGTGGCCTTAGATACTCCGTATTTGTTTCTTTGGTGGCCTTTGATACTCTGTATTTGTTTCTCCATGGTGGCCTTAGATAATCCGTATTTGTTTCTCTGTGGTGGCCTTAGATACTCTGTATTTGTTTCTCTTTGTTGGCCTTTGATAATCCATATTTGTTTCTCCATGGTGGCCTTAGATAATCCGTATTTGTTTCTCTTTGGTGGCCTTTGATAACCTGTATTTGTTTCTCCATGGTGGACTTAAATAATCCATATTTGTTCCTCTGTGGTGGCCTTAGATAATCCATATTTGTTTCTTTGTGATGGCTTTTGATAATCCGTATTTGTTTCTCCATGGTGGCCTTAGATAATCTGTATTTGTTTCTTTGTGGTGGCCTTTGATAATCTGTATTTGTTTCTCTGTGGTGGCCTTAGATAATCTGTATCTGTTTCTCTGTAGTGGCCTTTGATACTCTGTATCTGTTTCTCTGTGGTGGCCTTTGATACTCTTTATTTGTTTCTCTGTGGTGGCCTTAGATAATCCGTATTTGTTTCTCTGTGGTGGCCTTAGATACTCCGTATTTGTTTCTCTGTGGTGGCCTTAGATAATCCGTATTTGTTTCTCTGTGGTGGCCTTTGATAATCCGTATTTGTTTCTCTGTGGTGGCCTTTGATAATCTGTATTTGTTTCTCTGTGGTGGCCTTTGACATTCTCTATCTGTTTCTATATGTCAATAGTCCTTAGTGTTTTTCTTGGTATGATTAAGAAAAAAAAATGCTTTAAACACACTTTAAAAGCGTGGCAATTTATTTGTATTTAAATATCGGCTGTTGCATGTTCAACACAAGTTATGGAGTTAATAAAATATATTACCATATTTGAATAAAATCTTGTCATAGAGAGTCCTATAGTTTCTCATTCATCATGTTTCTCCTAGGATGTAGTATGACAATCCAGCTAGAGCTGCTGCCACAATACCTCCAAGTATGGTACCTGTCACAGGGCAAAATAATTTCAATAATTTTGTTTCAAAAATATAATTTATTCAATGCTCAGTTACTTTCGTTTCATTTCATTTAAAGAATGTGAGATTTCAAATGGCTTCCATCAACAGTTAAGAGAAGTTGGTAACTTAAGAAACCTACGGAAAAGTGGTGTACATGTCAATGTTTGGCCACACATGAACTAAGTGTGTGTCTTATCAAAAAATCTCTATATCTGAATACAATCTATTAATGTTACAGCTTTCTGTAAAGATTTCTATGGTTACTTTGATCATACTAACTAAAACAATAACTTTCTCCCAAAACTCATTTACACACTAATAGAAACAAATGTAGGACTTGTACATGGCTTCTCTAATCCTGATGCACATAATTTTATTATCTTGGAAATGTTTGAAAAGATAATTTAAACACCATCATTATCTTCTTAAGAAAATCAATCTACATCTCATCAAGAAATCTAATATTTACAATACAATACTTACTAATGTTAAAGCCTAAGTTACCTCCCTTAACATCTTCATCGCCTGATTTTGAATCAATCTCTTCAGTGGTTGCCATATCCTCTTCAGCTGAAACAGTTTTATCAATGAAAAGTTCGACAAATTTTATTTTTTAATTAGAAAAATACCAATGGTATTGTAAAATACTGCTAGAATTCATTTCTGTATGTTTTTTATTAAAAAGAAAAAAATCTTAGGAATAATGATGTAGGATAACACACCAATGCCCCTACTAGGCAAACAAGAATCTGATCAGGTGTAGAACTTGATGTTATGATACATAGACTAAATATAAACCAAATCTTTTTGAAACATTCTAAAGTTATGAAATTGATTTGGAACATTAAGTGATTGGACTGCACATGATGGGGGACATGCATAGCACTATATGCACCCATCATAAAATGACAGTAGCATGAAAAAGGCATAGTTTAACAACCCCTTCAAACTTTGCATCATCTCGATCCTGGGATACTTACTAGCCATCCGTTCACAGGACAAGTCAAGTTTCTCTTCTGTAATACTGATATCTAACAATTCTTCTATTCGATCAGTAACCTCCTTCATTTTCTCGTCTGGAAACATGTAGTCACAAAAGTCCAGTTGAGTTCCAGGAAGTTTACCAAATACCCGCACAGGTGTATTATACAGCTCCTTTAACACTGAAATTTCAAACATATACCAGGGAGTTTAACAAATGCCTGTACAGCGGTGTTATATAACTCCTTTTACATTGCACAGTAAATATAATAATTATCTGACCAGATGCTTAGGGATCCCCTAAATGAATGTACACCATGTACAGATGTCAAAGTTGGAAGTATCTAAAAATGTAAATAGCTTCAGTGATCAGAAAGATTGCCCAGGCACTATGTTTCAGGTGTCAAACAAGTGGCCCAAGGGCCTTAACAGTCACATGAGTCAATGCTTCTTGTAACATGTCATAGAAATGAGTTTGCTTAAAAAAGTAATATCACTTTAATTTTATTGTACACATAAGCAAATGTAAATTGTGTATACATTGTCTACTGGCTAATGCTAAGGCTTCTAACCAAGTTTGAATTAAAAGAAATTACACTAAAGATTTGAATGTTCCATCCCAGAACAGTAGAACATCTTTTGAATTTCAGTTAATTTGACCCATCTTTTGTCTGCCCAGCTGCCCATAATGTCAGTCAAGGTCAATATGTGCACCTCATCAAACAGTCAGCTTATACTTCCAAAAAAACTTCTAACCAAGTTTGAACTATTTCTTCCTATATAAAATATAGTAAAGTTTACCCCCTCCCCTGTGAAAAATGCGAGATCATAAGGTAATGAAATTTACATTTTTTTTTCGAACAACATAAGACACTTCCATCCATGAAGAGTGCTTGATTCTACCATACGTGGGATTTGAGAATCAATTAATTTGAGCCTTTTTGGCCTTGTCCCTCAGGCCCTTGGGGGTCAGGGGCCATTTAATTTACAATTTTGTGAACCTTTAGTCATGGTAGGTTTTGGTAAAATTTCATTGCAATTGGTTTAGGAGTTTCCCAGAAGAGGTGGAAAATGTTGAAAGTTTACAATGCACATCACACGACACCAAACAAAAGGGGATCACAATAGATCACCCTGAGACTTTGCCTCAAGTGACCTAAAAAACAAAAAAAAGAATGATACTGTAGTAAGTGAAATATACCTGACTCTTCTTCCACTACATCAATGACATCCTCATACAGAAGTTCACATCGTGCCATCAGACTCCTCACCACATCTCTCTGCAGTGCCTGTATCAACACATCAGTGAAATATAAATGTTGTATCAAAATGTCATCACTATATCACAGAGAGAATTTGGCACCCACCATTGCTTGATCTTCATTTGTTCCTTAAAAGTTTGACCATTTTTTTTCTCTTCTTTCCTGTTCTTGCCCTTCATGATATGAAATTTAAAAATTCCTCATAAGAAAAAGCAATAATAATCTTCAACTGCCAAATCCAAGATAGATAGATTTTTGGTTTTTCTAATCAGTACCCAAATCTAAAAGGCACAACTAGGCAGCAAGAGGAATCTACATATAAAATTTCAGACAGATTTGTCCAGTACTTCTCAAGAAACAGTGATAATACACTTTCATTGTCAAAATCCAAGAGGCCACTTTTTGGCCATTTCTGATCAGTCACCACAGCAAGGGGCCAATAGGAACCTGCAATCTTTATTTCTTGTCTTCACTATATTTACCTGTCTTAATCTTTATTTTTTGTCTTCACTATATTTACCTGTCTTAACTATCTTTGTCTGTTGTCCATGTTTCCTTTATTTCCTGTTTACAACTCCAGTGTAATCTACCTTAATCTCCTGTCTAACCTATCTTTATCCCAGTTTACTTATATCCCTCTACTACCATAATCTGCTGTCTTCTCTACCTTAATCTGCTGTATTCTCTACTTTTATATTATGTCTACTCTACCTTTATATTTTGTCTACTCTACCTTTATATTATGTCTACTCTACTTTAATCTGCTGTCTCATCTACCTTTATATTCTGTCTACTTTACCTTAATCTGCAGCCTTCTCTACCTTAATATTTTGTCTACTCTACCTTAATCTGCTGTATACTCTACCATAATCTGCTGTCTTCTCTACCTTTATATTATGTCTACTCTACCTTTATATTCTGTCTACTCTACTTTAATCTGCTGTCTCATCTACCTTTATATTTTGTCTTATCTACCTTAATATTCTGTATTCTCTACCTTTATATTTTGTCTACTCTACCTTAGTCTGCTGTTTTCTCTACCTTAATCTGCTGTTTACTCTACCTTTATATTTTGTCTACTCTACCTTAATCTGCTGTATTCTCTACCTTAATCTGCTGTTTACTCTACCTTTATATTATGTCTACTCTATTCTACCATAATCTGGTATCTGCTCTACCTTAATCTGCTGTCTGCTCTACCTTAATCTGCTGTATTCTCTACCTTTATATCATGTCTACTCTACCTTTATATTTTGTCTACTCTACCTTTATATTATGTCTACTCTACTTTAATCTACTGTCTCATCTACCTTTATATTATGTCTACTCTACCTTTATACTATGTCTACTCTACTTTAATCTGCTGTCTCATCTACCTTTATATTCTGTCTTCTCAACCTTTATATTCTGTCTACTCTACCTTAAACTGTTGTCCACTCTACCTTTATATTATGTCTACTCTACCTTAATCTGCTGTTTACTCTACCTTTATATTCTGTCTACTCTACCTTTATCTGCTATCTACTTGTCCATTATCCATGGATACAATTTAGTTAAGACTTATATGAGCACTATAAAACCTGTACCTTTATTCCATCTTGGACTTCTGCTTTTCCATACACATATGCTCTGCTATGTATACAGCCACGGACAGCCAATTTGGCAACATTCTCCATAACTTTTGTCTCAGATTCCGTTTCTGCTCCCTATGAAAATATACAGAAAATTCATTCAGACATACATGAACAATGAATTACTTTTACTTACCTTACAGAAAATTTCATACCCACAACTATTGCCAAAGGTTAATCATATAATATTTATCTGCATTAATGCTATGAAAAGTTTTCACATATCTGTAGTATTAATAACCTTGACAATCTGAGACACTTATTTTTTCCATACAAACTTAAAATTGTTTGATAATAAACTATCTATAAATATTATTTCACATTTCATGATAAATTTCCTTGTCTTCTGTTTTTCACAATGTAAAACTGAAACTCAAAACATGTAGATATAAATCTTACTTCTTGATATCGTATTAACTTAGGTTTTGAAGTTGGGAGATACACGATTGATTTACTAGGCACATTAATATCTTTGTAATGTAGACCTCAGAAAACTTTTGTTACTTTCTTCACTTACTGGCTTTATACAAAACTCTATCTCTTGTACTTGTTGGGTTGTCTGCCCCTTGTCACGACCTTTACTGCGACTTTTTGTCTCTGATTGGTCCAGATTTTCTGTTGGTCCTCTCAGTTTGCCATTGAAGAGAGCTATGCTTCCACACAATCTTTGGCAGTAAGGAGTTATCCCACTCTTCAAAAAGCATGTAAAATATAAAGAACTGCATGTACATACTGGTATACAGAGCAGAGATGTGACACTGATCTCCATCCTGATTTATTCTTAACAAATTTTGATGGGTGTCAATCTTCTACAATAGTTCCAGTAACAGCATTTTCCTCTATTTTTGGGAGTAATTGCCAATTCCTGATACAAAGAATAAAGCTGTACATGAGTAACTGTATTTACATCAGCATTAAAAACTGTTAGCAGAGATTTCACGCCACTCCCTAGAGTACAAACCTTTTCATTGACACCACTGTCCAATTTGCAAGATTTCTCAAATCAATGCTTATCAAACAAAATTATCTTTTGTGGTATTTTCTTGCAGGATTCGATAATGGTTTGATGAATGACTGTAAATATGTTGTTGAATGAGTTTTTAAATAAGTTATCAGATTATTTGAAAACAAGAGGCCTTAAGGGTCATCTGACTATAACGACCTATATATGAAAAAGGTCAATTAGGCCTTAATTAATTCCTTAACTACACTACAGCTTACATAGAAGACAATGATTGGTTCATAAAGACATTTTCTACAAACTTGAATTCATCTTCTTTATACATGCACTACACAAATGCCATTACTCCAGACAACTTGCTTGTTGGAAAAGCATGCTACAGGCCCTTTGCCTTTCGGTTGAGAAGAAGTTGCTTACACATTTCAACACATTTGAACCCTCTGACCTTGACAGTAAGTCAAGGTGAACAAACTTGGTAGTCATTTATCCCAACATGCTACAGACCCAATATCAGCACTATGGACCTTTTGGTAATTGAGAAGTTGTTAAAATATTTCATATTTTACCCCTGTGACCTTGAAAGCTGGTCAAGGTCAATAATATAAACAAGCTTGGTAACCCTTCATCCCAGCATACTAAAGGTCCAATATCAATACTCGACTCTGGCTATTGAGAAGAAGTCATTTGAATGAAAAGTTTACGCAGGGCAGACGGAGCATGACACCGGACGATACACAATGGTTATGGGGTCAGATGACTTAAAGAAGTTTGGTGGATGACTTTATAAATACAATGTAGAATAAAATAACTACAAGCTGTACCTGAAGCTGTTTCAAAAATGTAAGATTCTGTGACCTGACAGGTACAGGGATCCTCAGATCAATAGCAATATCAGACTGAAGACAAATCCAGTGGTCTCCTCCTGAATGATTTTTCCAATCAGCTGGTCTAAATGAACTCTGTTATCAGAAACATCAATTAAATTGAAATGTTTATGTTATTGTTTTTCATTTAATACCAGCTTTAAATCTCCTTATTTTATCCATATCTGTGTTTCTTTGTGCAACAAGTTAGTGATTATTAGTTGCTTGTCAGTCATTTGAGTTCAGGTAAAGACATTAGGCTTGAAACATATATAGTGCACATAAATATACCAGGTAAATATTGTGATAAAAGTGGGCACTTTACCTTTGGATCACCAACATCTATGCTTCTACAAGTGTATCTGAAAGTGTTAAGGTCATATTCAGCATGCTATAGTTTTATAACCATCCTTTGGAGAATTCTAGAATTGAAAACCTCCTGATCAATTTGATGTTTTCCCGTTTTATAGGATGAAGAGAGGATAGAATAAACTAAAAAAATGTTTTGGCTTTTCGTTTCTGAATTAGTCACTACTGTAAAGAGACCTGTGGGTACTGTTGATCAATCAAGGCACAGGTTTCTGTCTGCACAGATACCTGACTGCATCTCCATCTTTATACATGTATAAGGTTGGTGTATTTTGTTTCTGCTCTGAGATATGTATCCATAAATTCTTCTATGTGAGGTCTATCCATCTGCTGAATCAAAAATGCATAGCACACTTGTATTCCGAAGTAACTGAGTTTCCTGTTGTTGAGGTTTAATCAATACTGATATTGATCCAAGTATGAATTTTTAATATTTACTAGTATATTTCATCACTACAGGAACAATTACATGGTTTCTACTAGCTGAAATAATCATTCCCCACTTTAGGAATGTAATCTCAACCCTTAGGTAAAACCTCCTATAATTTATTTAACAATATCATTGCACTTGGTTGAAATTACATGCATCAGTCACTTGTAAAGTTACCTGAAAAATAAAAAATATTTGAAAATGTCTGAATAGAAGTACAATTTTGTGTCTCCAACTGCTAATGTCAGATGAAAATCTATTTTTGAAACATCATCATTTATCCTGTAACAAAAATTTCTAATTTCAAATATTATCAGAGAGTGACACTATTGTGGTGAATAATGTGCTTCTTCAAGAATTTTTGATGAACAAACTCTTAATGCAAGGTTTCAAAAGTTGCAGGATGATAAAAATTATGGGGTAGTTTTACAGCTGTCATAGTGATTTTATTGAGAAATATTCTATTTCTTTGTGCTATTTGGGGCTGGGCATGTTTGATGCTCATTACTTTGCCTATTGGTTCTGCTGTTAATACTTTGTTTTCATTTGAGAACACAACATTACCTATATGGACTTACAAAATTTACATGACAGGTGTCTTCGATGAAGCAGAACACGCTTATTCATCCAGAGCACCTTGTCTTGCTCTCCTTGAACTTTTTCAAGAGTCTCTGTGTAAATCTTTCATCTTCTGCCCTCGTTTTATTGAACCTGAGTTTGGATTATGATTTTATTGACATATTGGTATTTTCTTGTTGTTTGTCATGCAATGGACTTTTGAAAATATCAATACTTAAATATAAGGATACTTTCTAGTGGCTGAGCAAATCTGAAGTAGAATTCTGTCTGTGACAACTCCTTCTTCAGACACTATCTGTCCCTTCATAAGGGTCTTATGTATGGAAAACAATATCTGAAATATACAAAAGACCATCACAAATAGGTAGAGAAAACAGGAATCTCAAATTGATGGTTACTACTGGTATATAGTGTAGCCATTTAAAAACAAACTAAAACTTTACAAACTAGAGCTAATAGAATAATATCTATTCCATCCAAGCTTTGTTTTGGGGTACTGACCATAGAATTTAATTGATAATTTGCTTTAGAGTAACAGGCAGCAATCATGTATTTTGATGTCCTAGGATCAATTAATAGTAATTTATAAGCTAAATTGTATATAACCTGAAAAAAATTGCTACTATATACAATGTCAAATTAAGCACCCTATTAATGATTTTTGTACTTAGCAACATTTTAATTTTACTTACACAACAAATCTATGTCAAGATTATTAAGAATAAAATTCTAAAATAATATTTTATAAAGCTGACATATCGAAAAAAATATGACAATAATGAGAGAATTACTATATATATATATAGTCATTGGAAATAGTTATAAACATTCCTTATCATTTGAAATAATGACTATGAATAAATTGATGTTTGATACCAAGGTACACATCAAATTCCTACTAGTTAAACTGGTCTGAGAACAGTACCTGTCTGAGTTTCACTTGTGATGCCTGCATCATGTTTGGTGGAGCAAGAGCGAATACTCCAATAACATCTATACCACCCGGTAACATTCGGATCACCTGTTGATTGAAAAATGATGACGTAATGAAAACTAGAAAAAATATTTTAATTATCAAAACATATCTATTTTTATGACTTTCTTTGAAAATTTTCAACTTTTATCACTCATTCATAACCAAATAAGTTGTGAATTTGACTTTGAATGGAAATAAAGTTACATGGCGCTGTTTCGCCACAGACTTTTCATTATCAATAAAACATATAATTTTCTATTTAATATTCTTAACAACCTTTTAACAAATACAATAGATATGAAATCTCACATCCTGATGGATGACCAATTAATAGAGACTGAATAATACATTTCATGTTTATATTAATGTTCTTTGTTTGTAGTACATCCTGTATCTCCTAACATATTCATGACATGTACATGAAGTTCCTCTGAAATTATCAGATATATGAAAACTATGAAATTTATGAATTTGTTGGGATAATCTGCATCCCCACATAAAATTTGCATTGAAAGGTGTTGCTTTCTTGTGAGTCTAGTACAATCTTTCTTTACCACTTTTACAAGAGTAAAACATTCACTTGTTTAGCATGAGTAGCTGCCCATTTCTCATTGACATCACAGAGACTTTCTGGACGATGATCTGATCTCCTTTTTTTTGTAGTTGTATCACTATCTTCTTCCTCTTCACTGACTTCATCTTCAACTGGCTCTGGGGTCCGAACCAAACGCACAGCATAATCTTTGTGAGCTGTCAGCTATCATTAACATACAAATGCATGAATTAATGTGATAATTGGACTGAGCATGAATTGCACATGAAAAGACTCTAGATAAAGTAAATTTTGAAGGTATAAATAATGGCCTGACATTTTTTTTGTATTTTGTTTCCTGCTGTGACAATATGCTGCTTATTTGTGACTATTCACCATCGAGTGTGGAAATGTATCAATAAATAATACTCTACATTATACAGTTGTAAACTGACAGAAAAACAAACACAACCTGCTCAGTGCCCCGACCAAGAATCAAGCCCGCGTCTTTGACGCGATAATCCACAGCCATGTACAATATACCAACTGAGACGAAGAAACATGCTCTGAAAGTTGAGTGACAGAGACCCTATTTAAACCAACTGTTTCACTCATTTTACAAGATATAGCCTCGGAATGAGTAAATGTGATATTAGTTTAGACTATATCTAATGTCAAAGATAATGAGTAGCACACATTTGAACATCTGCTATTAGTAGGTATATTGTGTTTGGAATATTTATCCTGTCAAGCAGTGCTGCTATCGAAGATATTACATTTACTATGAATTGTCTACTGTAATCATCAATCGCCATATACAATACAATAATCAGGTCACTGAACAAGTCACAGGGGATCGTTATAAATTACATAATATGTGAGGTGGACCGCAATATAATTTTCTAACGAACCCAGTGAATCAGCTGACATATTGACAAAAGTCACGTTTTAATTGACGAGTATGAAATGTCTACACTGAAGTTAACTCATACCTGTCCAATAATCAGACCTAAATTCCATGGGCTACTCTTGATTTGTTTCTCTACATACTCTTGAATAGTTTCATCAGCTAATACTGTACGTCCCATTTTCACACGTCTGCTCTTTTCTGAAAGCGGATATGCATTAACAAAGGGCAGTAACTCTGTGAGATCAGACTAGCGGGAGCCGATTATTCTAACTTTGTTTTAATGTTACATATACAGTTAGGATAACCATAAGGTACCCGATTGCCCTTACTGTAGCATTCGTATTTGGAATGCCAACACAGGTCATTCATAAAATTATTGATTCGCAAAATCATGCAAATATATATAAAATTACTTCCTGCTATTTTAGTGTATAATAGCTATATTTTAATAATAGGGGATTTCAACTACAAATAAATGCGTGTACATCAACAACTACAAAAAGTGACGACCATCCAGCGGCAAAATTCTTATCAAAATTAAAGACCACTACCTCTACCAACACATTGAGGAACCAACAAGGTACAGAGAAGGCCAAGTCAGTAACATTCTAGACCTGGTATTTACCAACGAAGAAGGTATGGTCGACATGTTAAAATACAATTCGAGTCTCGGCAAAAGTGATCACCTGGTCTTGACGTTTGATTTTGTGGCTGACACACAACCCATCAGTGTAGAAAACAACGCACCACGACAAAACTTTCATAAAGGGGACTACTATGACACAATGAGTGAAAACCTGAAAAAAATTGACCAGCGACAATTATCCGCATTAGATAAATCGGTAGCCTGGAATGTCACAAGCAAGCTTCTAGAAAATTAAATCCAAAATCATATTCCAATGAGAAAACCATACAATGGCAAGACCAACAAGTCGTTCCCCAGCAGGCATGTGAAAGAGAAAATTAAACAGAAGAAACAAACTTGGATCACTGTAAAATCAATCATAACTTTATGGAAGCAAGCAGGAAAAAAAGGTACTAAGGCTTTAAGAGAATCCAAATATACCTACGAAAAGGGCTTGGGAGATAAAATTCGAACCAACCCTAAACTTTTCTGGAAGTACGTCCGGTCCAAAACAAAAATTGTCTCAACAATAAGCTGCGTCAACAAACCGTCGGGAGATCTAGTCACAACTCCGAGGGATATTGCCAACACTTTACACAACTATTTCGCATGTGTCTTTGTGAAAGATGATCAAAATAACCCATCGCCAATATTAACAGAGCTAGAAGTTCAAATCCCCGGGAAATGATTAATATTAATGAAGAAGTAGTTTGAAGGCAGTCTCCAAAATAAATCCTAACAAGTCTCCTGGACCAGACAACATTCATCCCATTCTATTAGTAAAAACAATAAACGAGCTGAATGGAATCCTCACCATAGTCTTTAATCAACTTTGAACGAAGGGAAAATACCAGCAGAGTGGAAAAAAGCTAATGTGTGTCCGATCTTTAAGAAAGGATCTAGGAAAGACCCAGGAATTACAGGCCCATTAGTCTCACTTCCGTACCATGCAAAGTGTTACAGCGTATTATCAGGGATGAAATTGTAAATCATATGGATACTAACAATTTGTTTACCAAAGAACAACACGGGTTTAGAACTGGCCGTTCATGTATTACATAATTACTAGAATCCCTAGAAGATTGGATAAGAGCAATGGAGGAAGGGTTTAATACAGACGTTATCTATCTGGATTTCAGCAAGGCGTTCGACAAGGTCAGTCACAAGCTACTATTATATTAGCTAGAAAAATACGGTATCAAAGGCAAAGTCCTAGACTGGATTAAGGTCCAATCCTGTTTTTAATCTATGTCAATGACATTCTTGAAACAATATCCTGTTAGGTCAAAATGTTTGCGGGTGACAATAAATTGTACTCCAAAACGAAAACACAAGAAGATAGGAGGGTCCTAACTGGTGAGTAAAACTGTATGTCTCTAAAACAGTAAAGCATCACTGTAATGCCATTTTCGTCAAGTGATATCAGTTAATTACCCGGTATAACGGAGTTGCGGGTATTTCGCCGGATATGTGGTAGGAACGACATCATTTGATATAATTGTACCAGGAATTACGATATGGCAAATGAACCAATGGCTTTATATATCGAGCTTTTATTGTATTCGGTATTTTTCATTTCATTAACTTGAGTCCGAAATTGGACTCATTCCATGTTTGTTTTATGTGTTTTAAAAGCGTCTACTCTTCAGACAGTATCACGTGTTGTGATGATGTAACTAAGGGACATTGCTTTCTTTATTCTTGAGAATTGAATAAAAGTAATTGTAAATTTAGTCCTTTTAAAAGTATATGCTATAAGTACTTCGTAAGTCAATATGCATTGTTTGAAGTTTGCAGATCGACGCTGTATGTAAATTTGCTAACAATATTTCGGGTGTAATATATTCATTTACACTGTAACTAAGGATGCTTAACGACCATTTGTTTATACTGACAACCGCCGACATTTGTGTAAATGGAATTGTCAAACGCAAAAGAGTATGTCGTAGCATTGGCTTTAAATGTATTAATTTACTAAAGAAAAAAAAAAGAAAAACGTGATTAATAATAGTCCTAAAATTAAATTCTTCAGGTTGGAAAACATATTTTTAAAAAATATGTTGACCGGGTTTGCATTACAGTGAAAACTAATATAGAACAAATAATCAATATCTGCTCCGTCTCGTTAACACAATACCGTTCACAGCAATAGTATTACATCATTACTCACGATACCATTCGGTTACGGATGACAACTAGGACACGACTTATAGATTTATATATTGCGATCCTGCATTCCTTATAACTGGTGAGTAAAACTGTATGTCTCTAAAACAGTAAAACATCACTGTAATGCCATTTTCGTCAAGTGATATCAGTTAATTACCCGGTATAACGGAGTTGCGGGTATTTCGCCGGATATGTGGTAGGAACGACATCATTTGATATAATTGTACCAGGAATTACGATATGGCAAATGAACCAATGGCTTTATATATCGAGCTTTTATTGTATTCGGTATTTTTCATTTCATTAACTTGAGTCCGAAATTGGACTCATTCCATGTTTGTTTTATGTGTTTTAAAAGCGTCTACTCTTCAGACAGTATCAAGTGTTGTGATGATGTAACTAAGGGACATTGCTTTCTTTATTCTTGAGAATTGAATAAAAGTAATTGTAAATTTAGTCCTTTTAAAAGTATATGCTATAAGTACTTCGTAAGTCAATATGCATTGTTTGAAGTTTGCAGATCGACGCTGTATGTAAATTTGCTAACAATATTTCGGGTGTAATATATTCATTTACACTGTAACTAAGGATGCTTAACGACCATTTGTTTATACTGACAACCGCCGACATTTGTGTAAATGGAATTGTCAAACGCAAAAGAGTATGTCGTAGCATTGGCTTTAAATGTATTAATTTACTAAAGAAAAAAAAAAGAAAAACGTGATTAATAATAGTCCTAAAATTAAATTCTTCAGGTTGGAAAACATATTTTTAAAAAATATGTTGACCGGGTTTGCATTACAGTGAAAACTAATATAGAACAAATAATCAATATCTGCTCCGTCTCGTTAACACAATACCGTTCACAGCAATAGTATTACATCATTACTCACGATACCATTCGGTTACGGATGACAACTAGGACACGACTTATAGATTTATATATTGCGATCCTGCATTCCTTATAACTGGTGAGTAAAACTGTATGTCTCTAAAACAGTAAAACATCACTGTAATGCCATTTTCGTCAAGTGATATCAGTTAATTACCCGGTATGTTGCGGGTATTTCGCCGGATATGTGGTAGGAACGACATCATTTGATATAATTGTACCAGGAATTACGATATGGCAAATGAACCAATGGCTTTATATATCGAGCTTTTATTGTATTCGGTATTTTTCATTTCATTAACTTGAGTCCGAAATTGGACTCATTCCATGTTTGTTTTATGTGTTTTAAAAGCGTCTACTCTTCAGACAGTATCACGTGTTGTGATGATGTAACTAAGGGACATTGCTTTCTTTATTCTTGAGATTTGAATAAAAGTAATTGTAAATTTAGTCCTTTTAAAAGTATATGCTATAAGTACTTCGTAAGTCAATATGCATTGTTTGAAGTTTGCAGATCGACGCTGTATGTAAATTTGCTAACAATATTTCGGGTGTAATATATTCATTTACACTGTAACTAAGGATGCTTAACGACCATTTGTTTATACTGACAACCGCCGACATTTGTGTAAATGGAATTGTCAAACGCAAAAGAGTATGTCGTAGCATTGGCTTTAAATGTATTTATTTTTAGCTAAAAATATAAAGCTGTATATATTTTAAGTGAAAAGAAACTTCAAAATGTAAAATATTTCCTAAGGGGACTGTGGTTACGTTTTTATTTGTTCTATACATTCTATATCTAAAGTTTTGAATGCGATTCTCTGTAATCTTTTGTTAATATTCAAACTGTTTAGCTGGCGATAAGTTGACGCTTAAGTACATGGTATATCTTCAACTTTGCAAAATTCACCAGAGATAAGAAGAAAAGAATACTTATCGAGTGGAAACTTCGGTTAGGGAAACATTACATAAATGTGATTTTTTGAAATCCTTATCAGCTAATGAATATTCTATAAATAGTCATTTAAAGCGTCGTTAGACTAACGGCCTACTGTTGTATTGTATAAATGGGGAACGCGTTAACGAAGATTTAAAAACAGTTGAGGAGGTTTCAACTTAAAATGGAATGGTGTGAGAAAAAAGGTGCCGCTATACTATACAGTTTGGGGTATAAATACTTATAACAAAAACGCATGAACTGCTTAATTCGCTTTACCAATACCACTATCATGTTGTTGATTTTTCAAAATACGAGGTTGGAAGGCCAACAGAAGTTCTGATTCTTCATGTAAAGGGGGAAATACCAATTTCAGTATTGCCTGATTAACATAATTACGGTAATTTGTTTATTTGCTCTCATTAAAACAATGAAGTGTGTAATATCTTTTCTGAAGACTATATTTGTATGTATGGTACCATGACGTGCTAGGTCATTGAATTCAGGTATTGAATATAAAGATTGTAATAGTTTTATCACTGTTATTATCTG